CAAGCAGAGCTCAATGGTTCCATTTACGTTGAAAAAATATATCCGCCACCGAGTTTTTGGTCAACCTCAATTTTAATAAAAATAAGCCCTGTCATTTTTTGAGAAAAAATACATTAAATTCCTGTAAACATTTATCCACTCCTGCTGTACCCCGCTGCATAAAAGCTGCGTACGTTCCTACGTCAATGCACACTGCTAAATACATCTCTAAAAACCCGATTAAAAGGGCCTAAACGAACGCCAACGAGTTTGTTGAGATGATCTGTTCCGTGTTTAGCGCTGGGGCGAATCTTGCACCCAACCCTTGTTCTTACTGCGAATCTGCCACTCTGTCCTCCCGTGTCGGTCCGGTGTCCTCTGTCTGTGTATTAGAAGGAGTGAGAAAGAGACAGAGCGTCTGAGGGAGGGAGAGACTGGACGCCCCCTTCTCCCAATGAACCAGACTACGCACAGACAAAGTGAGGGGGCGTCGAAGAGGGAGAGACGAAACGAACTCGCCGAGCGGTGGGTAGGGGGTAGTCGGTCCGTTTCCGACCTCTCTGAACTCCTCTACCTTATTCCTAGCCTCCTGCATCTTTCCACCATCATTCTTTCTTTCTTTCCAGTAGATTCCCACATAGTGTTCCCGAATTTCCTTCTTTCTTCTCCCGCCCTCTCCTTCCTCAGTACCCTCCTCTCATGGTGTCTCCCCCCAGCGCGCCCATTCTTTTCTCTCCGCCCTAAAACTCTACTGCGGCAGCAGCGGCGGCGGTGGCAGCGGCAGCGGCAGAGGGTGCTTGCCTTGCCTCTCTGCCTTACCACTCTGCCTTGCCGAGCTCTCTCGGCCCCTTTTCTAGCCAAAGAGACACTCACCGTCTGACTCTCTGCGTTTCGCCGTCTCCGCGCTCTGGCAATGCCGCCGACTTCGTCGTTCCTTCGACCAGCAGCAGCACTATTACCACCAACACAACGATCACAACTTTCAGTGACAGTGTTTCGTGATCTTTGCGCTACTCGTCGTCGTCGCCGACGTTATAACCTAACGTGCCAGCTACGTGACATGCCTTAATGTAAGTTTCCGGTAGGAGTTTGTTTTAATCCATGCTTTTTAGTAATCGTTTCCGTACAGCAGTTGTAGTGATCGCTGTGCTGTTGAGTGTTGGCCTTGTTGAACGAACTTGCTCTCTTTTACCTGTGCTGGTCTCGCCGCTAGCCGATGAGGACAAGCCACCACAGGGCAAGTCGCAAAGAGTGAACGAGTGGACCCATAATAGGTGCGCTTGGCATTGTGCGAATGACGGGCGAACATGGCTAGTTCGCAGCTCAATTATTGCTAATGTTATAGATCTATACTGTAGATGTTGTTCGTGCACATACCTACACGAGTAAAGCGTGACATTTATATATGAATCTGTACGACATTGTTTTTTCCATAAGTTCTATACAATGTTTCCTTTCATCTATAACCTTTTACCAGTGTCTTGCTGTTTCCTTGGCCGGTTTCTCTATCCCTTGTTTCGTTCGCATCGCATATTCTTTCCGAGGAACAAGCGAACAGAGGCCTAGCTAGAGCATACAGCATCAGCAGCAACAGCAAAAGTCTGACATTCTTTCTCTCCTCCGTTTTATTTCGGCTGCTGCCCCCACCCCTTCCCCCTTGTCACTGCTGCTGCTCCTGGTGCCACTCCCTCTTCGATTCCGTCCTCTCGTTTTCTCGTTCTGCCTTTGCCGCCACCGCCGCTGCCGCCGGTGCTACTGCTGCCTTCGCTGCCTCTCTTCCGCCTGTCTCTCCTGCTGGGCTCTGCTACCAACAACGGCGGCGGTGATGGGGCGACTTCCTTCCCCCCTCAGCTTTCCGGCTTGCCCCATCGAAGGAGAGATACAGCTACTCAACCGCCATTTACTTCACTATGCCACTGTTCTTCTTTCCCTCCCTTTCATTCTTTCTTTCGCCTGCTTCGTCTATCGCCTTTGTCCTCGCTATTTTTATCTCGTCCCAAACGGCCCCTTCACCCCCCAGCAGCCTTTTTTCCCACGTCGTGTTTTCGCTCGATCTCGCTAGCGTTCCTTCCTAACTGTGAAAGGCAGAATAAACTCGACCTAAAAGAAGATTACGACCCAAGTCTAGCAGCCCAACGTCTAATCTATGATTTGTATTATTATACTATAGGTACGTAAAGTGCGTGAGTGCCAGAGAACCACGATAGATATTGGGTGGCTATGTCAGCCAATGCTGGAGCAAGCTCTACCCAAGACATTCGAACAGAGTTTTCATTTTGTGCTTGTTAACAGCAGAGCTAAATGGAGCAAAGAAAAATAGTAAATAAATAAATAGAAAACAGCTTATTCGAAGGTCATGCGAGTAGAACGCGCTGCAAAATTGCCCACGTTGTTTTTTAGTTTCTGTCTATCGTAAAGTCGGAAGTTTTACCGTAACAGCAGTATCTACGTTTTTTTAGCGGCTATTCTTAATTATCTACGTTATTTTTCCCAGTTTTCGAGATTTTCTACAAGTGAAACCGTACACTCCTAATGCTTCAAGTTTCTCTGGCGACACCTTACTTGTCTTCTTGTCTTCCTGTCCTCGTTGGATATTTTCTTCACCTCTACCGGTTCTAGTACCACCTTATCCCCTTTGCCCCGACGACGTGTTTCTGCCTGTTCTAACGTTCCCTCGTTATAGAGGCTTTGGCAGCAAAGACTTTTTTCGCAACTCCCGTTTCTATGCGTCTTCATCCACGTTCCTCCTTGCTCCAGTTTTCGTCTCTCCCCGCCACTGTTAGCCTTTTGTCTCCCCAGTTTCGTCGTTCCCGACACTCCCTATGCTATGAACCACTCTCTCCCTTTCCATTCCGCCTGCTCTCCTCCTTCCGCCTCTATGCCGGCTACTCCCGCCAACCGCACCCCCTGCAGCTGCTGCGTGTTATCGACGTCGTCGTCTGCTCCTTCCTACTACGTTGGGTCCTCGGCTATAACCATAATGCCCGGCTGTTTCTTTTCTCTCCTATAGCACAGTTCCTATTTCCCGTAAGCAGTTCGTCCGCCATGGACCCCCGTTTCCTTTGCCACCACAGACCCCCTAGTAAAAAATTCGAAGCAGCCTTCAAAGAAGAGCCACCAAAACGGCGACCCAAGAGAAGGAACTGCCGGCCAAAGAACGAGCAGCTATCGAAAATAGCCAAAGACCGGCAGGAAGGAATGATGCGATGTCCGCCGCCTTGAACATGACGAAATTTCGCTAGAAAGAAACAGTGATGACTCGAATGAGACCCACCGTCGACGGAACGTTGAGGATCGGCTGGAGGATCGCTGGGTTGTAGTCATTCCTGTCGTCTTGTTCTCGTTGTTGTCAGACTGCCGAGTTCTTCTTATCTTTTTTCTGCAGACGGAAGAAAGGCCCGCTACAGTGCGCAACGATAGAAATACGGCATGGGTCAACCCACAAAGGCTGGCTTTATTGCCTTGCTAGATTCTTTTCCTCTGTCTCCTTTTTTTCGTTCTTGTATTTTTTGTTCATCTTGGATTTTTCTGATCGCTCGAATGGACGAGGACGAAGTACAGGATGTTAGAGCCGACGGACCAGGATGGAATGCAACGGAGAGAGACTCCTTCGTTGCTTCATTGTGTCTCAACTCCTTTTCACTGCCTGCCTGTCTGTCTCACCCACTTCATGCCGCTTCTTTCTCTTCGGCCGCTCTCCCGTTGTTTCCTCTTCGTGTGGCATTGTTTTTCGTCTACTGAGCGTGCCTTTATCGCCTACTTGCGCTGTTTCGATCTATCTTTGGGGTTCGCTGTTCCTGCCTGATGCGTGCCTTTTCTTTTGCCGTTGCTTCGTCTTTTACTTTTCTAGCGGGTGGTGTTCCCGTTGCTGTTTTGTCTTCCAGCTTCTCACTGGCCGTTCAGCTTCGGTCTCTTTCTCGCTGGGACTGCCCTTCCCTTTTGTCGTGCCGCATGGGTCGGACCGGCTTGCAGTTCGAAGGCCATAAGGCGGAACGGGGGAAGGGGCATCGGAATGCGCACAGAGGCTCAGTTATACAAGGTCTGCCAGACAGTGGGTGCTAATAGACGTGGTGGTGTCGATAGTCGAGTTTCTCTTTGCTCCTTTTTTATCTGCCTCCCTCCGCCTCCTTGTCGGTCTGTAACCCTTCGGCTAGCCTCCTCAGCCGTTGGTCTCCACGTACCACCGCTGGTCCCTGTCCGTCCATTCATCCATCCATCCATCTGTGGGGTGGGTCGTTTGTCCGCCCGTTCTCATCCAGCCTTCTCCTCCCCTCTCGCCCCGCTCATTTTCACTGTGTTTGGTCCCTCTCTTTCACCCTTTCTCTTCCACAAATAGGACAACAGAGCGAGAGAGAGAAAAAGAGATACAGCTCTAGCGGTAACTCTCGCGTCGTCTCTCTTCGTCTTCTCCAAGTAAATCACGCAGTAGTAGCACTAGTAGTAGCAGTAGTAGTGGTAGTAATAGTAGTAGTGGTAGTAGTAGTAGTAGTAGTAGTAGTAGTAGTAGTAGTAGTAGTAGTAGTAGTAGTAGTAGTAGTAGTAGTAGTAGTAGTAGTAGTAGTAGTAGTAGTAGTAGTAGTAGTAGTAGTAGTAGTAGTAGTAGTAGTAGTAGTAGTAGTAGTAGTAGTAGTAGTAGTAGTAGTAGTAGTAGTAGTAGTAGTAGTAGTAGTAGTAGTAGTAGTAGTAGTAGTAGTAGTAGTAGTAGTAGTAGTAGTAGTAGTAGTAGTAGTAGTAGTAGTAGTAGTAGTAGTAGTAGTAGTAGTAGTAGTAGTAGTAGTAGTAGTAGTAGTAGTAGTAGTAGTAGTAGTAGTAGTAGTAGTAGTAGTAGTAGTAGTAGTAGTAGTAGTAGTAGTAGTAGTAGTAGTAGTAGTAGTAGTAGTAGTAGTAGTAGTAGTAGTAGTAGTAGTAGTAGTAGTAGTAGTAGTAGTAGTAGTAGTAGTAGTAGTAGTAGTAGTAGTAGTAGTAGTAGTAGTAGTAGTAGTAGTAGTAGTAGTAGTAGTGGTAGTAGTAGTAGTAGTAGTAGTAGTGGTGGTGCTAGTAGCAGCAGCATTCGTTCTTCAGCCAACGTCACTTTCAGCGTTGCAGTAGCAGTGCCGTGTTGGCTGACTCTCCACCTTTCTTGCGCTCTCCACGTTTTTCGCGCAGCCACTTCTCTTTCTCTCGCTCTACAAACCTATCTACCTACCTCCCTCCCTCCCTCCCTCCCTCCCTTTCTCCCTCTAGTGGTGGCTCTATTCTCTCCTTCTCGCCCACCCCCTCTCCCTCTGGCTCTTTTCGCTTCGGTACTTTGGGTCTGTCTTCCTATCCTGCTCTACTCAGGCGTTCTTCTTTCACCCTTCGTACTCTGCTTTCCTATTATTTCTCGCCGCCTCTCTTCCTCTATCGTCCTCTCTCTCTGTCTCCATTTTCTTTTGCATCGGTGGATTTCTTGCAACGCCTGGGTTTCGTTCTCTCGCTCTCTTCTTGCCCGGCCGTAGCCGCCGCAGCCGCCGCCGCCGCCGCTGCCCTCGACGTCTGAGCCAACAAGCATGCGTGCTATGTCAGCTACGTCGGCTGCTCTGCCACGGCTGTCATACAGCAACACCCAACGACGACTAGCACCATGACGACCACTCCGTCCGCATCGACGTCGCTGTCGTTGCCGCTACCGCCACCGCCGCCATCACTATTGTCCACGGTGTTTTTCTCTTTTGCTGCTTTTTACTTCTCTTTTTCTATTGCTGCCAAAGAGAGCCATGCCTCTGGTTTTCATATCGCCCCCTTCCCTTTCTCTCTCCCGCTCTTGCTCATCGTTCGCGGTTCGTGTCCTAACAGAGCGATGCTGCCCAGTTCAGTAGCAGTACGGGTTCGGTAGCATCGCCGGTTCGTTCGTTTACTGGCAAGCAGTGAGCAGCAGCAGCAGCAGCTCCATCCGTCCGTCCGTCCGTCCGTTCGTTCCTATGTCCTCCCTCTAGCGCGCCACTCGTTTCATTCGATCGGCGGATGAACGACGGGCTTGGCTTGGCTTGGCACAAGCCCACCAGCCCAGCAAAGAAACGACCGACCCACCGACCGACCGACAAAGCTGCAGCAGCAGCTGCAATAGTTCTCTTTTGTGCCCATTCGCTAATGCCATCGGTGCGGTAGAGCAGTAGGGGCGGACGCGGCAGCAGAGGACGCTCTCTCCTCTCCCTTTTGGCTCTTGTTCCGCTGCTTCTGCTGCCGCCGTCGCCACCTCCCGCTTTCGTTCCCGGCGGCAACGACCATCGCTCAGACGGCAGCAACCCGACGGCAGGGGCCAGCCGCAGCGGCAGCCATTGTCTCTACCGGGTCATTCGCTCTGCCTCCGCAAATCGTACAAGTAGTGCTATCGGGAGCGTCGGCAGCTAACTGCTGCTGTTGCTGCCGCCGCCGCCGCCGCCGCTGCTGCGGATGATGCTTAGAGATGAGAGAAAAAGGGGAGAGAGCAGGAGGGTTAGCACGATCTTCATGCTGGTGGCAGTAGAGGATATCGTGTTGGCTGGCCGACTCTGCTGCCGCAGGACTGCTACGGCGACGAGTGTCTATATGGCAGTGGCTGCAACGCACTGTTTCACTCTCTTTGCTGGCAGCAGCAGCAGCAGCGGCGGCGCTGGCAGCAGCGGCGGCAGCAGCAGCAGCAGCAGCGGCGGCCACGGCCGCAGCAGCCAGAGTCGCTCGCTCGCTCGCTCACTCACCCACTCACTTGCTCAGTCGCCGGTCGTGATCATCGTCGTCGTCGTCGTCGTCATCATCGTCGTCACAGTCGCTCGCACACTCCTTCTATTTGACCGCTCACTCGCAAGCGGCCAAGAGCAGCAGCAGCAGCAGCAGGCAGGCAGCTCGCTCGCTAGCTTCGCTCATCGCCATCGTCGTCGCCGTTCGCTCGTCCGTCTGTTCGCTCGCTGCCACTACGACAACTAGTAATAGTGGCATTATTACTATTACGAAAGCTCGCTCCGAACCAGCAGCACCAAAACTGAGGTGCCAGGAGCAGCGGCAGCAGCCAGCCAACGCTGTTGGTGTTGGCAGCCGCCCTGGCGGCCGCTTCAAGCGAACGGCAGCATCGCGTCAACGAGACCAGGAAGGAAAAAGGAAGAGACGAGGACAACAAACTACGAGCAGGGAAAAACAAAAGACAAAAGTACGCCGACGAGGACTAACTAGAAATCACAGCATTGGCTAAAAGACGACGAATACGACGAAGTAAATGGCCGGAGTGAGAGTGGCCACCGAGTGAGTGAGTCAATGAGTGAGTCAGTGAGTGGTGGTGATCCTGTGCGAAGCGAAGTGTCTGTGCAGCTGTGGACGGAAGGCGGCCTAGAGCCTGCCTGCCTGCCTGCCTTCCGTAAGCAAAATCCTCTAACCTGACTCGGTTCGATTTCAATCTCTATCGCAGGACACAGACATCATCGGCATTGGCAGCAGCAGCAGCAGCAGCAGCAGCAGTAATAGTAATAGTGGTAGTAGTAGTAGAAGCGCTCGTGGTGACGGCGGCGCATTCGTGTGCTGTTAAGTGAGGAACAGCAGCAGCAGCAACAACAACAACAGCAGCAGTCGCGACAACGACAACAAAAGCCACCACAAGCACAACATAAAGAACAACAGGATACAATTCGTTCTCCTCAAGAGGTGCAGGACAGTACAGAAAAAAAAAGTCGTTTCTACTTGTCATGTCCGGAAGAAGGCTGTAAAAATTGAGCGACGCATAGATTGCACAGCCTGTATTGCCTCAGCATCGTGAACCCCACCCTCCGGCAGATTTCCCCTAAGGAGACGAACACTAAAGGAAGGAATATCGTGCCGGCGGGGCTACTGTGTGCGTGAATCGAATTTGATGATCCATACAATTTACTAGTAATGATAATCTGAAGAAAGAGAAACAACCGCTAGGCCAAGATCAGTAACATCCGTGTCCGCATTCTGGTGTACGACGACGACGACGACGACGACGACGACGACGACGACGACGACGACAACAACAACAACAACAACAACAACAATGATGATAATAACGACAACGATTAGAGTGTGATCTGTGTGGTAACGGGAAAAGAGTGCGCCCATCTGTATTTCGCACAGAAGCCGATCAAGCGACTGCCTCCTGACCAAGAATCGGGTGCCATTAAACAGCAGTACACATTGCGTTGTCTAGGCTTTAATTTTCATTGACTACGACAGAACCACTACGTCGCCTGCTAGGGTGAGTACCGAAACAGCCGTATCAATAATAATAATGAACTAGATAGCTAACTGGCTCCAGCTCAAAAAGAATCCAACACAAACTACTATGTGAAGCTGCGTGAATTGTGCAATTTCAATAGATTTGTTCGATAGTGGTCATAAGGCCAAGGATGACGATTCCGCCACCAGCGATGATGATAATGATGATGATGTCAGGTAGATTTGTTGTTCAACGACGGCAACTGTGTCACAGATTGCCGCAGATCTGCGCTAATTGCCCGTGTTGTAATAGCAGAGTGGTTACACACATACTGTAGCTAGCAGTTGTGAGTTTTTGATGGCCTGTTCGCTATTCGATAGCTTCTTTTCTTGCTTGTGCGAAATAATGAAGCAATAGAACGCTAGCGACTTCCTTGTGAGTAAGCGGCTAGCTGATGACCGTTCGGCGAATCCTGTCTTTCTCGTTAACTCGGTGCTAGCTAGAAATACAAACTGTGAACACGTACACTAACAATACTAAAAATTATCAACAGTCAATATTTTGCCGTTTGTTCTCACCATCTGCTTCATCATCACCATCAGCATTATGGCCGCCATCGTGATCATCATTGACGTTGTTGTCTTCATTGCATCATCTGCAACGCTGCTTTTATAGTGGTATGCTGTTGCTGTTCGAGCAATGGTGGTCGTCGTGCTGTGCTGTGCGGCGCCATGGCACCAGCAACGATCGGGAGTGGTGCCACTGCTACTGCCCGATGTATGGCGGCGATGGTGCTGCTGTGGCTGTCGCTGCTGTTGACTCGTTTCAAACCGTGCTCACCCCCCCCCTCCCTCCCTCCCTCACCCCCTGGCCAGTTCTGCTGCTGGCGGCAGAACGAGTATCGACTTGTATCATCGTCGGGGATGGCAGCGCTCCTCTGTTGTCGAAGTCGCTGGGACTATTATTATTACCCCGAGGCGCTCACTGTGTGTGTTGCTAATAGGGTTGATCGTACTGCTGTTGCTACTGCGGCTGTTCTCCGTTCCTGCACGCCCATTTATCATCTGTATGTCTGTCTGCCCGTCTCTATCTGTGATGAAAGCCGTAGCTCGCCGTTTTCGTGCTGCTACCACGTGCTGTCGCTCGTACTCATGCTGCTACTGCAGCAGCACTCGCCAGTGAGTGCCAAGCGAGTAAACTGTCCCCGCTAATACCTCTCTGCCTACCCGTAGGCAACAGTCAGTCGGTCGGTATCATCTATTACCGGCAACAGTCCTCCATTCCAGTCGTGACAAAGCGCTTCCTCCACAGCAGCACAAACGCAGCTGGATAACAATTCCGACGCAATGATCACCATCATCGTCTGTATTGACTGAGCGGCCGAGCGATGAACAAAGCCCAAGCAAACGGCAAGCGCGACCTGCTGCCGCTCGTTCCTCCGTACTCCACCCTCAAGGCAGTCGCCACTAGCCAGCCTCTTAGTCAGCCGTGTAGCTAACTGACTCGCCAGCGTTGTCACTTTCCTTAGCTATTACTATGTACGATATTATTATGCCTTGTTCTTTGGTCCACGAACAGCGACCGATCGACCGGCCCGCCGGCCGGCGGCCCGCCGGCCAGCCACAAGCAGGGGCAGCAGGGCAAGCGGCTCGACCTGCCCTATTCGCTGTGTTCAGCTTTACAATAAACGACAATGGCGGCACAGCAGCAGCGACTAGATGCGGCGTTAACAGCTGGCACCGGTGATTCTTGCTGGCGCAAATACGCTCGTTCCGCCTACGGTGCCACTGCGACTGCCATAAATGCGACTGACGTTCAGCGGCGGCAGCAGCATTGGCAGCTGCCGTCGTCTTACCTCACATCCTAATTTATCTAATCTAGTTATTCTATTAAATATAATAATTAATGCATTGATAAATACAACGCGACATTTGTAGACGGTGCGGGAACGATTGAAGATAAGGTGCTGCATAATGCAGATAGAGATCAAGGGCTGCAATGGATGACGGTACTATGGCGATGCATAATATTAATTCATATAATAGTCGATCACAATAGCAACGACATCGATCGTAGATATGCTGATCTATATATTTCCAGTTGCCTCTTTTTCGTCTGCTACATTGAGAGATCGTCACTGTCGTATGTACATGTGTCGCGCCAAGTATGGCAAACCCTCCGTAGTTCACCTGATAATTCAACATGGATAGCATAGTTTTATTGTCTACTACAACTTCTGTTACTGTCTCGAAATTGCTACTGTATTATACGGCAGGCAAATTAACTTGATCAAGTGAGAAGCGATCAAGGACGAGTGAGGTAGGCGAAGTGCAAAGCTTCGAATAGTACTTGTCTTAATAATTAGTCGGAATACGCGTTGTTTTCGCGACCCATATCTGCCGCTCGCCCTCTCTGACTTCTGATGCCGTTCCGGTCACGAGGTTTCGATTGGGACCGTATGCTCATGCTGCTGCAAAAACAGGCGGTGGCAGCAGCAGTACTGGCCGCCATTGCGATCGTCTCCCATTTTCTAGTTGCCTAGCGTCATGCCAGAGCCTGTCGGCCTGTATGGCCATCTTACCAGCAAGCGTTGTAACAGCAGCAGAAGTGATGTCGGAAATTGACGGACGAAAACAGTGTCCGTATTTTATTCCCTCACGTCCTCTCCTTTTTTTGCTTCGTGTGTTTCCTATCTGTTACTATTATTGTTATTGTTACGTCTGGCTCGCCCACCAGGCTGGATCTTTTTCTGTCGCCTGCTTTTTCTTGTATGGTCTCAGCTGTGAGCTGAGCCATACTATCTTCTTGGCCATTTGTTAGCTCTCCGTTCCGCCGTTGTTGTAAGTTCCCGCAATAATAGTAACAGTAGTTGCTAGCACTCTACATTTATGAAATTAGCAGTGCTGACGGGGCTTCGATTGCACAAAGGTGGCAGCAGCATAAAAAACGTGGCCTACTATGTTGCTCTGAGCCGTGGCGTTGTGCCGTAATCGTCGCCAATACCGCTGTACCTCTGTAGCTTTAGCTATCATCTGTTAGGGCCGGTCTGACTGACTCTCGCTGGGAACGTATCGCTGCTATTGAAAAGTAACTCACTACTCTATCGCCGTACCGATGTCGCCTCACGCCGTATCTGCTCTCTGTGGCCTGTGTCGCAAGGTACGCAACGACTACGCGCGTATCTGTGTTTGCGTCTACCATTCCTCCTGGCTGTATATCGGTATGTCTGGCTGTTGTGTGTGCTGCCTACCCACAGCTAAAGCCAAAGTGAACCGAGCAAGCGAGAGTCTGCCCAAACAACGAGCGTAGCGTGAAGCAGAATCGTATAGTAAGCGTGCAGGCGTTCGCACAGCTCCTGCTGTTCGTCGTCTTTTTCTCCCCCTCCCTTTCTTTATCTGGCTTTATATCTGTGCGTGTCAGTCTGTGTATGCGCGTTTAGCGAACGCTGTAGTTGTATAGCTCGCTCTTTGAGTCAATGAACGAGCCTATGTTTGCTACCGGACATTGTCTGTTTTTCTGGCCATATGCTTGTGTGCGTGCGGGAGAAGAAGCGAGAGAGAATGCGAGCGAAGCTGCTGCCGCCGCCGCCGCCGCCGCCGCCGCCGTTGCTGGCGCTAGCGCCACCTCTTCTCTCTGCCAGCAAACACAAACGGCAGTGCAGCGTTCAAACAGTCATTCCACTCTCAACAGGCGATTCGCCCGCGCCGCCGTGCAGCCACGATCGTCACACATCCAACGTAGAGCCATTATTAGAACTGCGACAAGCATAATATTCGCCAGTCTACGAACGACCGACCGACCGACCGACCGACCGACCGACGAAACGAGTGAGCAAGCAGGCAAAACCAACAACGATGATGACGACGAAAAGAGCCGTGCCCAGGCCGCCGCACCGCTTCCGCCGTTTAGAACGCTGCCAACGCAGAGCCGGCGGCGGCGGCGGCGACGACGGCAGCGACCACCGTTGCTACAGCCGTCGATGTTGTCGTCATTAGACGAAGTGAGCAAGTAGCCGACCCCGAGACACCAAACGATCAAGAGTGACCGAATGAAGAAGGTATAGCGAAACAGCAAACGGGCAGAGCTAACCGACGGCGCCGCTTACCCTTCGTCTAATACCGAGCTGGTTTTGAAGGCGTCTACTCTCGCTGCAGCCGTTGCCAAGCAGGAGCTGAAACAGAATGCGACGGGACGACGGTACAGAGATGCGCGATTGTTTCTCGCGCGACACTGTCGTTGCTTACTCCTTCCCACTGAAGTATGGAGAGACGACAACCTATGTTGGAGGAAAGAACTGAATAGAGCAGAAAAAGATTTTTTTCGGCTGTGCCACTGTGGTTGTTCTTGCTGCTGTTATGTCGTGGCGCTGCTATCGATGGCGATGCCGCGGTGCCCACGCTTGATGATGGCGTTCGTGGACCATCATGTGAAGGAGGATTAAAAAAGCAGCGTTTATTGCTCGCTCTGTGCTGTTCGCACCATCATCATCATCATGCTCGTCGTTACCATGGAGACAGAGACCCTATGGTGACCAGGCAGAGGAGCTGGACGCAGGAAAACGGTGGTAGAAGACGGTCAAAGCCACCGAAGGAGTCTGCTGGCTGTTGCCGGCGCTCACCCGTGGGCTGGCGTCAGCAAATAGAAAACGAAAAGAAATAGACAAGAAGATTGAGGGTGAGCAAAGGAAAATAGAGGGGCAAAAAGAAGAGTGATATCATCACTGTGTCGCATCGCTTCGAGTGGCGAGACGGCATCACTGACAATATGAGTTAGGAGGAAAAGATTGACGAGAGGCCGTGGCATGTATGGGTAGCCAGATAGATAGAGTGTAAGGCAGGGAAAAGATAAAAGCGAAAAACTGAAAAGAAAGAACAAGAAGAAAAAGGGAATGTGGTGTGAACAGAAAACGAAAAGTTGTGGTCGGGGTGGGGAAAAATTCAAAAAAAACTCTTTTGTCTCATATTAAAGGAGAATTTTCTTTTCAAGGTGCTGGCATGCGTTTAGCTGGCAACTTCGATGGCAGGCAGCACTGCTGAAGGCGGGTTTCCTTGTGAGAACGTGCTGGAAGGAAAAAGAGAACCAATGAAGGAAATTATTAAATCTTTGAGATATTAATTGGAACAGTCTGTGTACAGTGGTCACTGTTCGTGAACAATTAATAAGATTCGAAAATTTTGAAAAAATTAAGATCTTCTGCGGTAGAGCACAGATATGATTAATTTCAGTTAGCGTCATACATATGCTGTACTCTACAATCATGCGGCTCGCCTGCAGCACTAGAACTAGTCCTTCATTTTATCCTAAACTATTTGTATAGATATGCGGTAACGGGGTTCAGACCTCCGTCTTTTGGCTCTCTCACCCAGAACCGGACAAATTATTACAAGTCATTCAAGCTCACGTTTATTGAGGTTAAGTAACGCTACAAGGACATTGTGTATATATATATATATATATATATATCGCAAATAGCTAACACTATTTGCCTTGACTAGCTAGCCACTAGGCGATTTTAGGCGAACCGTACAACAAACAAATAGTTGTTATGCTGCTCAATTGGACGCACGTATGTTTATGTGTAACTTAAATTAATTAGGCAGGTGATTTAGATATGTTATTCTACGTTTTTATTAAATCTCTACTGCGTGTGGCATGTTAATAACCACCATCTAATACAATCTATTTGTCTCTATTTCAGAATTGACAGTTCCACTCGCTGCCTGCCAGCTCCTTAAACAAAGGGGGAGGAAACAATTAAACAGCAGCAACGAGCACCTACAAATATCATGTCGTCATGGATCGTCCAGGGGATTTACCCCCATGTGAGGCTTTTATTTAAACCTAAACGTAACCTATTTAGATAGCTTTTGTTATATATGTCAGCTATCGAAGCAAGTATTTTGGGTAATTGTATCTAGTCGACTAGGCGAGTTCTTTGAATTATTTGTTTGTAGAACATATGGTGGCCTCTAACATGAAAAAATCAACCAGAGATCACTGGTAACATGAAGAAAGGTGTTACTTGCTGAGAAATAGCCGATTGGCCATTTAGATAGAGGGATAGAAATAGCTTTTCTCGCGACGACAAACGATGGCTTTATATTTGGCACTACGGGCACGTGTAGTTGCTAATGCGTTCATCTGTTTCTGTTAACATAAAACGACAGTCATAAGTCACATAGATGAAACATTTCTAGACAAGTTATGCAATGGACTCCGTTTGAAATATAGTTCATTGTAAATATGCCTTGAATAAACCTCGTATATGACTGCATGTTACTGTATACTCATTATTTTATATTTTGTTACCGCAACGTCCATCGATTTTCGTTCTATTGTACAGATGATGATCATTCCTCCAGCGGGAAGTCAAGGTGCTGCTACGCACGGCGGACTTCCGCTTCCTCCTCAGGCGCCCGGAGCTCCCCAGCAGAATCAGGGGGGTCCCACAGGGCTCCCGCCTGGACCTCCCGGAGGCCCTGGCCTCAACGGGCAAGAACAACAGCCCGCCAACCAGCAGGACCCAAACCCATTCGCCGCGGCATCGGCTAGCGCAACGGGTGGTGGCTTTGTCGGCGGCGGGACAAGTACTACCGGGGCAGCTGCTGGGGGTGGCTCAAAAAAGGGGCCTCAGACCGGCGCCCCCGGGGGGTCGGGTGACAACGCTGGGGGCACAGCAGCGAGTGGAAGCGGTGGAGGCAGAGGTAGCACAGGGAGCGGACCAGGTCGGGGAAAACGTGGTGGAGTACCCGACGGAAAGTTCAAGTGTGACCTCTGTCCCTATGCGACCAACAAGGACTGGCACCTGCGACAGCACGAGGTCAGTGATAAAGAGATAATGTCTATGATAGGCGCCATAGGGGAGAATTACGAAAATATATTTGTCAAGAATAGAGTGCAATATAATGTTAGCAGAATAAATGTAGATACATCATCAAAAGGGCATAAACAAGATAAAATTACGTTTTAGAATAGTTCTGCACTGTCGCAACTTGGACGGTTCGACATAGATGAGACTGACATAGTGAAATAAACACACTTAAAAATGTACACGTTTGTGTTATTATGTTTCAGGTTTCCCACTCCGACGAAAAGAATTTTACCTGTGAACATTGTGGTAGCGGGTTCAACCGAAAGGGCAACCTGAAAGTAAGTCGATAACCCAGACAAAGACGCGCTAGCTTACGCACAAATTTAAACAACAACAACAAATCCTTGCAAGTCCGAATGGCACTAAATCGAATAGTTCATAGAACATATTCTACCGAAAACTCACATCATATTTTTCAGTATTAAAGTCAATCGACAAAAATCATGGCAAACTGGCTATACATATATAGCCAGTTCACCGTTATTTTCTTACATATTACTATAAAATCCCTTTAAATTAATTTGTTTCTGGAAACGCGCTTATTTATACTAACATTACGCGATAACGACGAATTAATTATCGACGCATCTCTTAATTAAACTCTAGCAGCACGCAGAAAACGTTTTCTCCAAAATTTGTTATTACGTCATTGGTGTTCTCTCTGCCGATATTTGCTATTTGCCGATGTAAGCTAGCGCCGTATTTCGTCTGCTGTAACGTATCGTAACGTATTTTTGTTATTGTTCTTACAGCGCCATATGATGATCGTGCATGAGGGTGTGCGATATTCGTGCACGGTGTGCGGTAAGCAGCTCACCTCTGATGCTCACCTTCGCTCGCACATGAGTCGGCATTCACAACCCTGGGAGGTTCGTGCTTCACTAGATTCATACGACCCATTCATTCAGAAACACAGAACATCGGCACCATTACTTTGTACTGAGCAAAAAATAGTGTATACTACTTTATCTTAACCGTTATTTGTTCTGTTCTGTTTTTACGTCGTATAATTAGCCCGGCCCCAATCTGCTAAACGAGTAAAATGGTATCAGTTCGGAAACTTCGCATCAATGTTTCACTAATTAGACACCTTTAGCCGTTCGTGTATACATGCATGCTAGCGTAGGAGAAAAGTTCTGTGTGTCTACGATCAAACCTGTGTGTTTACGAAAAAAAAAAAGAAACACAATTTAATCAAGATGTCTTCTTGACAGCTCACTTCGGAAGGGCATCTTCGGTCAAACACAACGACACCAACATCAACAGCTGTCGTTGCCCGAACGCCGTGGGAGGTCAGTGTTCTGTGAACCCCCACAATTTTACCTTGGTGCCTCTTTGATTCGATGTTAAATTAAGTGTATCTCAAGTAGTCTATCAAAACTATAGTATCTGGGCATTTGTAGACACAAGCGGTGACATGAAAGTACAAAGCCATCCGCTAATTGTAGCGTTACCAATAGAGGTAATTTGGCGCTTACAATGTAACACAATGCGAAATGCTTTTTTTCTCATGTAAGAAAAATCATTTCTTATTTAAAAGAAAAAAAAAACAGGAAAAGGTGTTAATATGATGATACAATCGGGGTAATTTAGTTCATGTATACGACGGCTGGCCATAAGCCAAACAAAAAAATTAGCTTATAGAACATGAGCTTTAACCATAATTTCACTCTCTTTGTTTGTCGATAGACCTGTAATCGTATAACATACACGATCCATTTTCATCTAGATACACTAAATGTCCGACAATTGGATGAGTGTTGTGTTATTATTGTTACCATTTATTTATAGTACATGTTGGAACCTCGGCCACGCGCCTCGCACAAAGGAGTCAAAGATGGCCGCTTCAAGTGCGGGCAGTGCGACTACTCGACCAACAACGAGTACCACATGAAGCAGCACGGAGTCGTGCACTCACAGGTACGCTCCGACCTCAAAGCCTCGCTCGAGGTTATGCCATTTGTGCGATTTATCAGGTTTTGGTTAGCTGGCCATCGAGTCATTCCCTCCAACTGATTTTCATTCTACTTACGCAGTAAGCCCACTTGTTGACCAGCTATACATGATTTAATGGAAATATTTTCGGGTAAATTTCGCATGCTATTATATTGAAGGTTTCGTATAGAAATGCAGAGTATGATTACATTGTAGAAAATCAGCCAGACGTCCAATTTGAGCATTAATACATTCAGGTTTTAGGTAAAAAAAAATATTATCAAAACGAGTTATGGACGACCATTGCAGAAATACGCTCCTGTTGTAAAGTGTCGTAATCAAAGACTGAACAAACATTTATAATAAGCAAGTTTTAACGGCGACAACAGCTGAAAAACAGCGACTGCGGTACAACCCATTACTGACCTTATTTTTCCTTTTAGGACAAGCCTTTCGTGTGTGATGCGTGCGGCGAGGCGTTCAACCGCAAGGGAAACCTCCAGCGGCACAAGGTAAGAAGAAACGTAGCCTAACTTCCGTTTAACACGCTACAGGGATGCTATTTCGTACGTATAACATGTGCATTTCTACTCATTACATGTTAGAACTATTAGTTTGAAATCTGCTCGCATCTAAAAGGCGAAGATATCAGGCTGTCTTTATGATTGATTATTCAATTTTTTGTTAAATATATGAACTAAGGTTATTGTGAAGCACAGAGTACATTTTGCATCTAGCTTAATCCTGACATTACTGTAGGAACGTGGTATCCGAATTAAATAACAAAGTAAAAATTAGTTATGCTTCTTATTAGCTATGCTTCCACTTCTATTTTCTAAATTGTTGATATAAGTCACTATTATTATTATTATTATTATTTCACCTGAGAAATATCTCAAACCTATAAAACCCTATGATTTTGCTTTGTACCATGTGTACAGAGTACAAATTGCCTTTAACTGTGAAATAATTTAGTTACCCCATCCATGCGTAAAATCGTGTTTGAATATGTATTTTTTGACATTTCATGTATGTTTGTGATTTGTTTCAGGCCATTCTGCATGCGGGTCTTCGTTATCCATGTAACGTTTGCGATAAGCAGTTCCACTCCGACTGTGCCCGGCGCAAACACGTCGCCAAGCACTACCGGGAGGTGAGCGGCATTAGTCCCCTGTAGACATCAACAACCACATCATTCTCCATCAAATCTCACATCTTTCGTATCTGAACTTCACCTACCTTAGCAGTAGGCAGCACTTACTCTTATAACATCTCCTTACGTCGATCGGAACACAGAACAACAACAACAACAACAACAACAACAACACTTGGAAATGCAAATGACAAAATCAGCACTACTATAACAACAACAATAATGTACGATACGATTTCTCAACGACACACGCCCATACCATAGACTCTAACCCCTTTCTCATTCATACGTTATTCTTAATGTGCGAGCAGACATTGCGAGCTGTACGAGCGTCACCTACTGTCTCCAACGACAGCCATTACTATTACAGGCTATATAGACCGAAGTATTACTAGAAATTCCCAAGAAACCCACTGATCGAGCCGTTCAACAAACGACGGGCTTGTCGTTCCGTCACACAAAAAGGAGATATCGAACACTGCAGTAATCGCTTCTCAAGTCGAAGGAGGGCGACAACCGACGCTTCCAGTCTGTCTGAAAATTTCGATGGATCTTCTGTTATCGAAAATTACACTTCGGTCAACGCTCCTTGTTGGTAGATGTTTGCCGGTTCAATTTCGAACTGTTTGCCTCTAGCCTGATATTTTGCTAGTATATTTACTGAACTAAATTGGCCTCGCCTGGTTCACGCACGCGTATACTTGCTTGTAACGTAATGCGTGCATGGTAAGCGAACGGGGGCAAGTTTGAGGGTGACGCCGCTCCACGCTGTGATCTGCATACGCAGAAGGCAGTACCAGAGGTGTAGCACTAACTACCGACATTTTGGCTCGATGGACGACAGACGCCTGCTCGTTTCGGCTGGTCCATCCTATGAGTATGTAACAGGTTGGAGGGGTACCGGCCACGGGGCGATTATTTACCCCTTGAAGGTTCTTGACCAGCCCGACCTTTATATCGACCCTGCTAAACCCCCTCTTTATTAGTAGCGAGACATTAAGCTATGACAACTGCCACCCGACTGGCATAATAGTAACAACAACAACAACAGCAACAACGACAACAACAACAACAACAACAGCAACAACAACAGCAACAACAACAACAACAACAACAACAACAGATAATGAACCGTCTGTGCAACGCAAGCCAGGCAATTACTACCTGACATCTGCTGTGTTTTTACCCACACATTTAAGCAAGCTCTCGCCCGATGCTTTCATCCATGACTATTTAATAATTACGAAGATAGTCAATATTATTATTTTTATGAATAATATTATCAAGTATTGGTTATTTATGACCGATTTTGTTATCTTTCCTTACCACTATTACATGCTCATTATTATCGCCCACTCTATTTACTGTTTCGATGTTGAGACGAGATTGCAAGGCAATACTGTTCTCTCCTTATGTATAATGTAGACCGATATAAAGGTAAAGAGGTAACTCAAAAAAAAGAACACCGGACGGCAATTAACATAATTCTAAAGAGAGGTTATTTGTACTGATACTATTACTGTATTGGTAATTATATTTGCTGGACACTGCGCGAACACGAACCGATGATAAAAGAGGAGACGGTGACCTATGATCAATGAACAGGAAAGGAAAGACAAATATATATATATATATATATATATATATATATATATATATATATAGAGAGAGAGAGAGAGAGAGAGAGAGAGCGAGAGAGAGAGAGAGAGCGAGAGAGAGAGCGAACGAGCGAGCGAGCGACGGATACAAAAATGCATAAAATAATGATGCTAGTATATGAAAATAATGTACCGTATGTGCACTAAAGGATAGTATTACCACCTGAAGAGATTTGTTGTCATTTTATTTAGGTTCGTGGTCCTTTAGATAGTTCGTATTGTTAGAAGGAAAGTCGCTATACTATCGCTTAGTTTTTGTCTGTTAGTTGGCATTGCTGAGCTGTATGACCTAAACAGGAGGGTAGGATATTAATTGAGTACCTTTATGGCGATGGAGCGTTGGGCAGAGTTGCGTTGTCAATAAGCAAGCGTGCTTAAATTTATCGTGGGAAGCCCAGAGCAGATTACGCAGGTTGTATTTGTGATTTGGATACGTTTGTTGACCACTTGTGTGGAACAAAACACACGATTTAGTCTTGCCTGAGTCGACAGCTGTGTATTAACAACAAGTGAAAAAGGAAACTGTCCAGTCTCGTGTATAACAAACACAAAATCAATATCCAAAAGATTAAAGTGGAATAGAGTCTATAGACCATGCGGTCAGTTGCAGTGGGGCGCCTGCGAAGGCATCATTTAGTTCTCCGCCGTATTCTTGGCCGAAACGATGGCCGAACGTTCACTGAAAATGAAAAGATCGTTTAACAGAGTGGACTCGCAACGCATAAATCGATATACAAAAATTTCACACACGTCAGTTTATTTCAGACATCAATTAGATCAATACAATAGACTTAGGTAGGTGCTGCTTTTCGTTAGGTTACGTTAAGGAATTACCGCCAACTTTGCTTCACCAGCTCTTTGATATTGCATTCTTTCCATTGAAAATCCATCATGTCGTCAAGTTCACGCCGACTTCTGACGTGCTAAATGTTCTGGACTGCAATTCAAGCCTAGCTCCACGAAGAAGAGGCATGTTAGCCCCCTAGATATATTATTCCAGACACACAATTTGAAACGATAAGGTCCAGTCTAAAAAAGCAGTTATTATCGCATTGAGTCAATCTACTGACCGACAAAGGGCAGGGGACGAAGCCTTTCTTCTTGCGGGTTGCCATATACGAAGACCGCATGCAGCCTTCGGTAAGTACATGAAGTATCACCGCTCTTAATTCGTAATCGTACTTTGTTAATCTGCGAGCTTTCCTCTTATAAGGTGGCTGACTCACATGTGGACAATGGCCACAATCGTCTTACGTTACACTCAGCCGCCATTGCTTGGCTGGTCGCCCTGATTTTGTCCGCCGTTTAACCGGCATAGCCAATCATTTCTTTGCACTGAATTGACGCTGATACAGTACGAAGTACGATGAGTACGGAGTGCACACTTTCTGCTTGTACACTCACGCACATCTGCTCTCGTGTCACCACAGCTCAGGTCTTCTCCAGTATGTGCTATGGTAGATCAGTATCGGGATCCGGTGAGGTTCGTTTGATTGGAGTAGTCGTCACCTGTCAAAAAATACAATCTGAACGCCTTTCACAGGACGATTAGTAGGAAACCTGGACGAAACCGTCGAGATGCGAGACTCTGTGGATGTGACAGCTGGGATGGATATACAGGCCGTTCTTATATATACTTATCTAGACGAACGCAAGCCCATCCGTCACGACAAACCTAGGGATTTATGCAAACAACATATATTCATTGGCCAGCTTCAGCAAATCTGATGACCCTGCCCTCATGACGCTATGAATGCTATGGGAACGCGAACTCTTACCAATTTTGCTTTGAGTACAATAATAGAGAGATTGCGCGACAGGTACGCTTTGGCCGCTTGTCACAGTCATGCCGCGTAATAATAATAATACATCGAACAACCCGCGCTATCAGCTGACAACTATCGGTGTATAGAGCGAATTACGTTTCTGCCGCTGCTTTTGATTTATTCATAATGCTGAACGTACGAAAGTATTTCTCTTCAACAACGAAAACTAGCAGGGCTTAGTAAGAGATGCTAAGGGCGGCCACAGCTTTCTTCACCTGAAAGTGTCTTATTCTACTAGTATACGAACATTTTTATTAGATATATATTAGCTTGCACTGGTAATTCGCTACAAGTTGAACAGAACTTAAAACAAACAAACAAACAAACAAACAAACAAACAAGAACAAAAAGTTCGGGTTCGATTCAAGCGTTCGATGACATCTGCTAGCTTACGTTTGTGGCACGTGTTAGCTTTTCGTGACGCATCGTCATACATTCACTCGTGGCATTTTAATGTTGGTGGCGCCTTTCTCGTAGTGGAGATCGGGCACTACGATAGTTCCAACACGAGTGTTTATTTTGATGAGAGAAAAAACGAACGTTTCTTTTTATCGCTGGGCTCTGCGTGTAACAGCAGTACGCAGGCCACGCAACATGGTACGAAGAGAACGGTAATAGCAGATGAGGTTTTCCGGATCTTGGCACCGAAGAAAATGTTGCCAAGGTAAATGTTTTTATATTGAAGAACAAGGGAATCAGGCAGCGTGAAACGAAATTCACTTCCATGTGGTAAAATTAAAGTTCATTCGATACGCAGAATGGGCTGTCGTGTCAATGTGCACAAAAGGCACATGTGCGTTCCGCACATGGCGGTACCGCATAACCGTGTCCAGCTGTTCGCTTTACAAAGCTAACCAGTGATATGTAGCACTGCTCGCAGTGATGTCAGTCAGTCCCTGTTCAAGTTCGTGTTAGAGCAAGGAGCTCGTTATGTGTACGAGCCGTGCAACAAGAGGCCGCTGAGGGAACGGGTCGATTTGGGAGCAACAGAATTCAACGCGACTACGACGAGGCGATCCGAGGTGAAAATGGTTGGCGGAGTTCAGCCGAACAGCCAAAAACGGTACAAACCCATACATGGGTACCAGCGTTTGGAGAGTGAGAAAATACCTATCTCTACTCTGAGAGTGTGTGTGTGTGTGTGTGTGTGTATGTGTTCGCATATTCATCTGATCGTATGTGAGTCGTCTCCATAGCAAAGAAGACACGAAGGACGCTTTGTGAGCGCGCCTCCTGCTCTGTAACCAACGATAATGCATGAGCCAGTTGGACGCTCTACGACTAGAAGTGTACCCTCACATGATGTGGATAATGGTAGTAGCGTCAAAAGCGAATGGACGACGCGGCTCGATCGGCCGATTGACTGACTGAACGAGCCAGCTACACAGAAAACGAGTAGAATACATGGAACTGCAGCAAACGGGAGTATCAGCGGCGGCGGCGGCGGCGGCTAACAACAGTCACATACAGTTGAAGAGGCTACAGCAGCCAGAGCTTCAATTCGACCCACTAGAAT